GTAAAAAAGCTTCAAAATAAACTACTGTACTAACCACTGTGGCCAAATTCCATATTCCATGCTAGGAAATCACGAATTTTTCATAACATCCCACTTGAAAAAAGACTAGTTAAAAATTGGTGGCACTTTTTAAATATTTGTAAAATGCCAATGTTAGAATATAGCAATAAATTTGGCTATTTTAACTGCAACACTGAGATCACATCTCATTCCACACAGAACACAAAGTCAATCAACATTGCAACTTCTTCAGAAATCCATCTCTACTCTCTCAGGATTTTACAGCCACTCCTGTTTTAGAGCAATAATAATTTTTAACAGATCCTCTACAACTGTGACAGAGTAGGAATTGACTTCTTGTCCAAAACAAATGGTAGTTATAAAAGGAGTCCCCCTGGCTGAACATACCAACTATCTGTGCTTCCCACAGTACAAACAAACACACATTTCACCTCAAACTTGTAAATCACCATCATGCCATCATCATTTTGAGGTGTGATCCCACAGAAATTATGCAAACAAGGCTAGAGTGCTCTTATTCAAACTAGTCAATATGTTTACATCACAAAATAATGCCTTGTTTAATTAATTCAGAAATCAGAATATCAGGCCTAAGCTTACAATGCCTTGCACTTCTTGAAGCTTCTCGCTCACATAACTGCAAGTGCCAACTGCAATAGACTTTGCTGTCATTCCAGCCTTGGCATTCCCAACCAAGCAATGGGGAAAATACCATTGCAAATAACTTAGATACAATATCAATGACTTCTCTTTTCTAATAATAGCAATTCTCCCAATGCTAGCTCAAAGCAAACATGCTTTGTCATCTTTGTAAGGGTGGAGAGAAGACCACAAACATATTTAAAAGAGAGATAATTCCCTAGAGTGCAACCAGACAGAGGAAATCATCACTTGGAGCTCCTTCAGCTATCTAACCCAACAAGCTATTACTATTTTTGTTGAAGTAAGGAACTTCATGCTTTTCTTCTTCCACACTCTTTTGGGGAACGGTCCAGACTGACATTTTAAAGTTGTTGCAGAACTCTGCACTCAGCCTCAGCAATTTAGGCCCAACTGTACACTCTAAGAATAGTCCTGAGTGTTTAGACACTGTTTTACTAGTAGCCAGCAAAATATTTAAAATCAAGTACTTAGGAATATATGATAACTGTTCTTTGCAAAAGGTTAGTTTTCTTTATATACTTTCAACTGACACTTCATCAATTATAAGAGTTATTAAAAGAGCTCTAATAGGAACAATTAGGGACACAACACAGACCAGCTGTAGGGGAAACCTCATTGACAGAAAACACTGAAGGAGAAAGAGGCATTCTACCTCCCAAGGGCTTGCAGCTAATTCTCCAACTAGATCTCATCTAGCAAAACACTGGCACTAAAGAAAGCCCCAGCACACAAGTTCCACAAAAGGACAGAAAACTTATTTATTTCAGCACCCTGGTAAATGTCTACACATTTGAAAATGGCTCTACCAGCGGAACGTAGCTCAGACACATAAAGCACTGGAGCAAGCTGCCACTGACATGTATCAAGGAACAGAAAAAGTTAATGCTACAGTACATCAAGCAGTTAACTGTGTTCTGCCTCTTTCAGAGCTGTACTAATATACTTTACAATGTGCTACTGTTGCAGAAGGGCTAATTCACTATTATTCTGGAGCAAGTTAAGCTGCTGAGTCAACCTTTATTCTTAAAAATCGGGCTAATTTGCTTGGTTTTACTCAGAAACAGTTCTCAATGGCTAGTAGTTAACAAAATTTAACCAAAAAAAGAAAAGGTTGTTAAATCTCTCTTAAAAACAAAATGTAGATTGTTTAATGGAAAGGAAATACTGCATGTAGTTAGTGAATTATCTTAATCAGTTGGAATAACAAGACATACCAACACGTCAGAGCTCATTTAGTATGGCTTGTTCTTAAGTATGGCTTCATTCTTTGAAAAAAAAAAGTCAAATTTCAAAAACCTTCTCAACTGTCACTAGTAGTGCAACAAGTTACTCTTGCTAAGCTGAGAATTAAGTTGTCAAAAATTTAGCTGCTGATAAATTCTGAAGTCCTCCCTAAGTATCTCAAAGTATTTTAATGAGTAGCTGGGGAGGAAAAAAAAGGAACCTACTTCTCAGCTGAGATAAAGTGCCCTCTTCAGAGACAACACAGCCTGCCAATGCAGACAGCACAGACTATCAATTTGAAAAACATCTAAAACTTCTTGGAAATTAAGTCAAAATCCTACTGAATGCTTGGTCCATCAGAATTTAAGACACTACTGACCACCAAGAGCCAGAGCTGTAAAACACCAACTGCTTCCCAAAAGCTTCTTGTCCAAAAAGACAAGAGAAAGACCAACTTGTGTCTGTCATGGCCTCTCCAGACGAGAAAGTGCTGAGGCACTAAGTCACATGGGAACAGGCCACACGGGCCTGGAAAGCAGAGGAGACATCTGATGAACAAGAAAAGGGGAACAAGTGAAAAGGCACTGAATGGCCAACATAACAGACCAGGGAAATGATCACCACAGCAGGACTCTAAACACATGCCAACAGAATGTATTCAACATTACTGCAGAAATAAGTTTTATGGTGAAAAATTTGGAAATGCCATTTGCCAGTTAGGTAAATAAATGTATGTGCTTGGCATCCAACAACATGAGTTTTGAAAGCAACTAAAATAAGATGGGCAGAAAGGGACAAATAAAAAACAGGCAGAGTATTTTTTCCTGACAGGAAGTGTGATCTTCCCCTGAAATTACTGATTACAAAGTCCTAATCCTAACTGCATTCAACAAAACTGAAACAAATTTGCTGGGGTCTGCATATACCAATACAGCCGAAGGATGTAGGAAACTGACCTTGAAAAAATCAACACTTTGTTACTGCATGATAATGATACATGTAAAATCCGATCTGCCCTTCTTTCATTCTTAAACTTATTTAAGAAAAAATATTTTCTATATCACTAAGTTATAAAACCAGCAGTTATAGTAGGGGAAGTGGATCTAAATTTTTAATGGCTAAAAACAAAATTACAGTGATTCTGGCCACTCTAGACAGTAACAGACTGGACAAGGCCATAAATATCCAGCATCAAAAACTAGTGCAGTTTGTGCTTCTAATGTCAGTTCACCATACAGTCAATCTCAATTTTCATATAAAAAGAAATCACATATCAGTAGACTTGAAACAATATGCATATTCCTCCAAAGAGTGGTAAGGGTTCATGGGTGCAACTGTGCACAGCTTCCCCAGGCTGTTGTAGCTACCAAGACATCCTTGGAACACCCAGAAAAGCTCACAGGGAAAGGACTCCTCCAGTCCACCTTAGGTGGGCATTCCTGATAGCCTGAAGAACTCCCCACAACTGCTTTTCAGGCAGGCAAGGCCTGAACTTTTGCTAGACTCCCTTAAAATTTACTTTCATCTCAACACTGGAACGCTTCACCTTGAAGCACCTACAAGCAACATATGTACAGGAACTAGAAGAAGAGAACGTCAGAACCCTCTCCTCCTAACACCAAGGATAAGTGTCATAACTGGTCATCACACATGAAATCATTAAACTTTATCTCAAAAAGCCAATGGATTGTCATCCACATTGCTGTTCACAGAATTTCAACACTGTTAAAAAAAAAAGAAAATTCAGTTCCAAGATAACATGTCTTGGATGGGCACACACAGCCACCAGCAGAAGGAACAAACAGTCCAGAAGGAGGCACCGACCCAGAACGTTCTATGCTGCCCTTAAAATAATCTAAATTACTATGGCTAAGAGTCATAGCCATCACACTCACCAACTCTCTTTAATGCAGCTTATTAATCCTGACCACCTACCAAATACTCTCAATTCAAAAACAGGTCATATATTTTTACAGGTTTAACTCATTCTGCAAATTTTACCCTCCTGGGGATATCTGGCTCTACAGAACTGCTTTCAGAATACCCTAAAACTTTGAACTGATGCAAATGAAAACATGGAAGACACTGTTTAATATCATTCAGGAAAGTAAAGCTGAAAAGTTCAGGTGTTCGAAAGTAAGCCTTTACCCTGCAAGATTTAAGACAACTCACTTTTGGATGAATAACCTCCACTGTAGAATAATATGACAAATTATACAACATGGGTATCACAGTCATTGTATAGCAGAAGTATCTGCACTCAGGACACCTTGCTGGCATTAAAAATAGAAAATCAATTGCTCTTTGTAGACAAAACAGAATACGGGTAAAGTCTAATTTCCAGTAACTGGAAAGCACTGCCAGATTCCACCTTTCAGAATGCCTTTGGACACAGCAGACATTTATAGCCCACGCTGATCCTCAAATACCTGCCCGCCTCACAGCCCAGCTGCTTCGGGACAGAAACCCTCCACCAGGCAGAGGTGAAGCCAACTTCTAAGGATTACCTACTGACACAAACTCCGGCAAGCACAGCCGAACCGCTCCGCTTAAGCCCTCCAAGAAAACAAACACGGAGCCTTTACCAAGCCACCGCGGAGAAGGAGGCCAGAGGGGCTGAAGCCGGAGCGGGGCCCAGGCGGGGGCACCTCCCCGGCGCGGCCCAGGGCCGAGGCGGGTTCCCCCTCCCCAGGTGCGCTCCGCTGCGCTCCTCCAGACACGGGCCCGCCGCGGGGGCGCGGCCCCACGGGCCCTCCCCGGGCAGCGCATCCCGGCCGTCGGCGGACAGCGTCGGAACAGGGACCGGGCCCAGCCGCCGCACGGAGCGGGCACGGCGGACCGGGCTCCGCCGCGGAGCCGGAGCGCCCCGCTCCCGTCCCGCCCTGCCGGGAGAGGACGGAGGCTGATAAGAGGGGCCCGGCACTGCCCTGGGCGAGCCGGCCAGCGGCTCTGCCCTCCGCGGCCAAGGGGAAAACTGCCAGCCGCCGAGACAACTCGGAGGCCCCGGCGGAGGGCTGAGCCACGGCGCTGAGCGCCCGGGCGGACAGCGAGCCGCTCCCCGCGCTCCCGCACCTCCTCGGCAGCGCTCTTACCTCTGTTAACATTATTACCCCGCTGCGCTGCGGCGGCGCCTCGGCGGCTCTAGCCCCGCAGCATGGTGAAGCCTGGCGGCCGCGCGGAAAACTACCCCGCACCCCGCGGGGAGGCGAGGCGAGCGCCGCCAGCCCCCGCCGCCGCCCCGCTCAGCGCCCGCCCGCCGGCCCCGGCCCCGCTGCCGCCCTCGCAGCCCGGTCCGGAGCGGCCGCCATCTTGGGACGGCTACGTGCGCCGCCGCCCCGCCCCGCCCGCCCAGCAGGGCCGCGGGACCGCCCCTGCCGGGGCCGGCGCTCCGCTCTGTGCCCGGCCCGGCCCGGCCCGGCCCGTGCTGCGCCTGCCCGGCGCCACCGGCACCGGCACCGGCACCGGCCCTTGGCGGGGTCCGGCCGCCAGGCACGGAGCTCGAAACTGCGGGTCGGGTTTTTTCCCCTCTCTCCCTTGGTGTGACCTGTCTTAGAGCTCTTCAGTGTCAGGCAACTGTGCTGCGGGCGCTAATCGAAATATTTTGTTAAATTTCTGACCAAGCAGCGCATCTCTCATCCCCCAGTGACGTGCGCGGCGCTGCGCGTCTTTCCCTGTTCTAGATGCTAAGGAAGAGCGCATGTCCTATCTGGAGCACAAGTCCTTTGGGAAGCGGCTGAGGGAGCTGGGGTTGCTTAGCCTGGAGAAAAGGAAACTCAGGGGTGACCTTATCGCCATGTACAAGTGCCTGAAAGGAGGCTGTAACCCGGCGGGGGTCTCTTCTCCCAGGCAACCAGCGGCAGGGCGGGAGGACATAGTTTTGAGCTGCACCAGAGGAGGTTTAGGTTGGATATTAGGAAGAATTTATTCACGAAAGTGCGCTTAGGCATTGCAATGGGCCGCCCAGGGAGGTGGCGGAGTCACTGTCCCTGGAGGTGTTTAAGGAAAGGCTGGATGTGGCACTCAGTGTCATGGATCGTTTGGACTCGACGATCTCAGGTCTTTTCCAAGCTCAATGATTTTGTGAAAGAAATTTATATAGCCTGTTACCTACTCTATTGCTAAGTAATGGCATGAAGTATGGAACAGAAACATATCTCCTCAGAAACAGAGCCATGTCTGCCCCAGCTCAGAGAACCCTGGGGTGATTTGCCCCCATCAGTGTAGTATTTGAATACACAGAAATATTCCTGTCTGAAACTTGCTCTTCCTTTAAGCACAGTTCTGTAGGCTTTGCTTTTTCACTAGACTTTGGGTTACACAGTTAACCTTAGGTGCATTAGGAGAGTAGGAGAAAGATGGGATTTTTTCCTGCATTGCCAGTAACAACATGTAACTACCAAAGAAGTAGTAATGGTTTGCAGGAAAGATGCAGGAAAAACAACTCTACTATTTTAATGTGAAGAAAACCAACCTTCTTCAATTGCAGGGTTTTTTCTCCCGCAATAAAAGCAGAATGTGTTTTTTTGTAGAAATGTGAAGGGCATTAAGCAGTTCTTAAGGCTGATGGATTTTGCAGAAGTTCTGTAATTTTCCCAGGTATTGTTAAATACTTAACATTTCACAGTTGACCACTTCTTAGTTTTATTTGTGAGTATTACTGAGTTTCAGTTTTACTCATACAACTGTTTTTCCCCTGTTAGACACCCATCTGTTAGTCATGTGAAGCAAAAAGAGCAAACTCTTGATACTAATAATTGTTTATTTGCCTTTTATAAATAATAAAAAATACTAAGTTTTCTAAGTGTCTAATAAACTTTTTACTTCAGAGTCTGTAATTTTGAATGTTTCATGTCAGCAGTACTCTTTCCCCCAAGCTGATCCCTCAGGGAAAATCCAAATCTTGCTGCACAAACAACTCTTCTTTAAACCATAGGCTTGGCAATAACAGCACCATGCAGAGGTCTTGCACATGGTATTTCACCACCTTGATAAATTAGAAATTGTTCAAAACCATTGAGAAATGGGAGTTGTGAAATACAAATTCCAGTGTATTTCTTTGGTCCCCTAAAATTGTGTAGGTGCTTATTTGGCTGATGTATATGTATACAACTAGGATCCATATTTGTGGCTTTTACTGTGCATCAAGTCAAGCAAATAATGCCCTGTGCTCACATCTGTGCTACAGGAGATCCTGAAGGTACCCATTAAATAGCAGGGTGATCAGTAAATGATCAGTAGTGTGTAACTATGAAAAAACTTCAGCGCATTCTTAGGTAGCAGGAAATAGAATGAAAATACTTAAAGCACCTACTGCTTAACATGTCATTGAGTCAATAAATATGTACTTTGGGCAAGGCACAGTATCATAAACTGATAAGATAAATTACCTATTTCATAAAATGTAAGGGTTAAGCAGGATGTAAAAAATCTCATTATATTGATGAATATATATAAATAATAGTGATTGAACCAAGGTAATAGCCTAGACAAACAAGCTTTCTAGGCACTGTATCTCTTTACCTTGTGTTTTTAGGTATAGCAGTTAAGGTTTTCAAAATAAATAATCCCTTTTGAAAACTTACTGCAAAGATGTATATATCCTGAGTGCACTGATGGAAAAGAAAAGCAAATCTTACACAAATCTCCCAGCAAGATGAAGTCCTAATTAATACTTTGTACTTGAATTTGCCCCTACTTCTGCTTGGAATTTGGCCACCCAGCAGCATAATAGTCTGGGAAGCACCTTCTGTTCTTGCACTGCTGGAATAAAACTTCCAGTACTTCTGCTGAAAACTGTTATCTGATTTAACAGCAGTCAGCACAACCTTAATACTGTTCCAAATTGTTACTAATGCTAGAATCCATTGTTCTAATTTTTGGTCAATACATCTCAACTTCAAAAGGGAAAGGCAGTGTGTAATTGCAACAGCAAGGAGTGATGCTGTGAGGAAGGACTGAACCACATAGACTCAAGGCAGATGAAGAAGCAGCCTTATAAAGGAGAGGTGAAAAGGAGCAACAGCTTGGGAACAGGATGATATCAGGGAATTCTTTAAAAACTGCTGGGAGGAAGAGAAAACAAACAAGCAGTTATGTTGGCAGTTCCCATTCTTATAATAAACTGAAAAAATGTACAATTTTTTTTTTCCTTAGGAAGGAGGGTGTTTCTAAATTAGCGTGAGCAGGTGTAGAAATGAGGCTTCAACAGAGATGGAAAGAATTATCAGTGGTAGGCCAGAAGCACTAGAATACTTGTTTCCCTGAGCCCATCTTCCAGTGACAATAATCCCAACAGACTTGATGAGTCATCTGTAAGAGAGTTTTATCTGTGTCATCCTTTTGTGTTTGTTACACACAGCTCAGGACCGGCACTGCAACAAGCCAGCATTTTCCCAGCAGCAGGGCAGCCACGTTAGCACCACGCTCATCCAGGCAGAGCAGCACACACCTTATTTTCATGTCACTTCCACAAGCCCACAAGCACGGTGTGAAGTACTGTGTTAGGGCAAGTATTTATAACTGCAGTCAAAGGCAAACCTGGCAGAAAGTTTGCACTCAGTCCTTAAAATACTCACAGAGTTTCTTTCTCTTAGACCTAGACAAATGCTTAGCTCATCTAGAAGGAGTACCTGAAAGCTGATGGCTGTGAATACCTTCATAGTTATAAAACAACTCTGACCTGTTGCCAAACATCTCACTGTTCTTTGCACTCATTACAGTTTTCACTACAAGCTAAAGGAGTGGTCTGATGCTCTAGATCCACATTTTGAAATTCCACGGGGGACATTGGGAGCCATGGGGCTGTCTACTGAAATGATGATGAATGCAGCATTAAAATCTGAAATACAGAGATAGCACCTTCAGGCTCTACATCCAGAAGTTTATAAAGATTTTGAAAAGTAAAACATGGAAAATGCACTAAGTAAAGAGACAAAAATATAGTCATGAGGGGGAGGACATGACACGCACAGAAGCAGGGGCATAAGCAGGATTTAGCAATAAAAGAGCAACTGTGCCAACTTGCAGCAAAGCACAAAGGAGTGCAAATTATTTTCCAGCCCTGAAAGGAGGGCAGTTCCACAACCTAAATAACTGTTAGCTCACCAGCTTATGAAAAATGAAATTGGTGACCTAATTGCCATCATGATAACCTCTGAAAGAGCAGTAGCCTGCATTTGGATAGTAAAAGGATATGTTGTCATGACCTGTACAAGAAAACAAGCGAAGACTAAGGAAAGGGGAAACTACAGGCAGGGTTGGGGGAGGGACAGACTGAGAGAACAACAGACAGATTTTGCTTTGCAAAGCCGTTTTATGGAAATGGCTACAAGACTGTTTCTAACATCAGTAAGCCTGAACTTCTGTACCTTTTTGTAAAATCTAGAAAGATCTTTTACAGAATTATTTCTGAATGCTGTAATTAATTCTGATTGTCCATAACAACTGATGCAAACCAAAGTTTGGCTTCTGTTCTCTTGTTTAAGTTGTTTGTAGCTTAGGCTGGCAGTATGGTTAGAGTTTGCATAGGGTTGTTCAGTTTGAGATTCACTCTTTTTGTTGGAGGAGAAGGTGAGGCAGAGAAGATCAGAAGAATTTGTAGTTATTAAATATTTCAAGTGTTAAGTCTTAACTGTTTAAGTGCATTTCTCTGTGATTGCATTCCATTCCATTTCAAATAAGGTCACATGACCCTGAAAGTCTACATAGCAACATGATTGAAAGGGGAACTCAAAGTATCTTTTAAGTGTAAAATTTGAATATTCTGTTATTTCAGGATGTTGCCAATTCTAAGCTCTTTGGTCTGAGTGGCCTGATCAGAAGTTTTGTTTCTGGTCAGGATCACAACTGCATAATTTCCAATTAAATATCTCCTTCACTTTAAGCTTTTTCATCATTCACCTGAGATGCAGCACAGACAGAAGATGCAAGGGTGTATGTGAAGGGGCCACTTGAAGCAATATGATGTTGAGCATTAGATTAATAGTTACTGAAGAAGCATCAGCTTTAATTTCTGCTTCATCCTTTGCAATAAGGACACAATATCTCCCCAATGTTCATGTTCTCAGAATTGTTTATGGGAGGCTGAAATTTCTTTTCAAGCTTTTGCCAGCTTACGTCTTTGCTATAGTGCTTTGAAGCCACTTTGGGGATTGTCTGAATTCTTCTGCTCGTTTGTTTTGCTGCCCACTTACAGCAGTTTGTTCT